AAATTAGCCGATACATGGTGTTCTTTTCCTTTCTTTCAGGGGCAAGCTTCTAAATCTCCCTTCACAATTGGAGCTAATTTCCCTGATTCTGGTGGCCTCAGAAAGAGGCCAAGAACAGGCGGCCATAGTGATGACAGTAGACATCTCAGCCGGGCATCCAGACACCCAGCTCCCCACAGGGAGGATTCATTCATTCAGGTCCCACCTGCCATCAGCCCTCCACTTCCAGGTCTTGTTTTCTGTACATTCATAGTCATTGAGTGTGATGGTTGACACCCTCAACTTACAGGATCTACAATTATTAGGGAAGCAAGCCTCTTTGCATGACTGTGAGGGAGTTTCTAGCTTGGGTGAAGTGAGGTGGGAGGATCCACATTCAAGGTGAGCACCAGCATTCACTCCCCCGGTGGATAGGATGCTCCTACCACAGTGACTTTCCCACTGTGATGGGCTGTACTTTCAAACTGTGAATCAGGACAAGTTCGGTCTTCCTTAATGACTTTTGTCAGATATTTTGTCACAGAAACAACACAAGTAACTAAAACTGATTCTTCAGGTGGGAACTGATTTCACTCCCTTAGACACCTGGCCACCAGGGATCTGACCCAGTGTGATGCTTATTACATTAGTGGACATCACAGTACTGGCGGATCTTAGAGCAGGACCTGGGACCTCCCAGGAAGTCATAACTAGTGCTTCAACCTCTTGGACAATTGTCAAAGATTGTCTTGGTAGAAAAATGACCAAACCTTGGGTTTAGCCCTCTCCATTCCCTATGTCTTCTTCCAATGTGGTGACATCTCTAAGAAGGGACAAGGGTAAACAGCCCTTCTCGAGGAAACATGTCCTGATACTTGAGATGAAGTCAGAGTAGGGAGGCAGGGAGTCTTCGTAGAGTCTCAAGAAATGAACTTCATTTGTTCTTTCCTTTGAAATTAGTTTCTGTGCTGTATTTATCTTCTCAATTCAGTTCTGTTTAATAGTGTAGTGGTGAGATCACAGAAAAGAAATGGGAACCAGTGGATATTGGGTACAGAGGAGAAGCCAGATGGTGACAGCCCACTGGTGTTAGTTGGTCCTTGGACTAAGTGCAGCACTCAGAAACCATTAAGTGTGACACTTGTCCTCAGCTTGCCTTGATTCATTTGTAAGGTTGTGTCCTGAGCTGTCACCAAAAACATCAACTTCAAGCACCCTACCGCCAAGGGGTATGAAAGTAATGCCCAAAGCTTGTGTCAACCTAGTATCTGGTCAAGGCAAGGTTGGTGACCATTGACCCTGAGTCAGAATTACAATCTGTTTGTCCTAAAATCACCCAGTGTATTAGTCACTTTTTCATTCCTACAATCAAGTGCTTAATGAAAGTAATTGAAGGGAAGAAGGGCTTATTTGGCTCACAGCTGGAGAATATAGTCCATCATGGTGGGGCAAACATGGCGGCAGGAGCTTGAGACAACTGGACACATTGCATTTGCAGTCAGGAAGCAGAGAGGGATGAATGCTGATGATCAGCTCTCCTTCTCTATTTTCTACAGTCTGAGACCTCCATCCATGAGATGATGCCACCCACATTTAGGGTGGATCTTCTCACTTCAAATAACCCAATATAGAAACTCCCTCTCAGACATGCCCAGGGCTTGTCTCCTAGGTAACTCTGCTTCCCTCAGGTTGGTAATCAGTATTGACCAGCACACCTGATGTTATGTATTGACTAAAATGTTCCCAACAGGTTCAAGTTTCGAAGGCTCAGACTCCAGTCTGTGGCACAATTTTGAGGGGTGTGGAAACTTCTGGAGACACAGACTGTCTATTAGAAGTAGATTACTAAGGGGAAGGCCTTTGAAGATTGTACCCACCTTAGTTCTGGCTTGTGCTTTCTGCTATCTGGTCCACACTATGTGAAGAAACTACCTCCCATTCCCACCATCACAGGTGAACCTGCCATGCCCTTCCCACCATGATGAGTTAGAATCCTTCTGAGACCATGAACCAAAAATAAACCTTCCTTCCCTTAAGTTGTTTCTCTTGGGTGTTTTGTCATAGTTACATGGGAAATAATGCACCTAGTGAATATATATATATATATATATATATATATATATATATATATGAGGGATGGGACATGAATCTGAAATTCTTCTCATTGGCATGGGAGGCCAAGTGCAGGGAGTCTTTGCAGCATCAGGGAGATTGTATCTCCAGGCCAGAGTCCCATGGTAATGTGGCTATTGATATATCACGTGCCTACTAACTGAGATGCCCTTGGTACCAAGATCAAAAAGACCTAATGCCATGGGAAGAGAAACAGCACTCATTGAAATTACAAAGAGATTCTTTAAAGATGCTTGGTCTGGTCAGGATATAGACTGAGTAATCCTGGAGACCACTTTCTAAGGGACATCACATCCAAGTGACACATTGCCCTATTCCTGTCATCCTGGGGAAAAAGTACACATCATATCCCTTAGGCCCTGACAGAATTCTCAGAGTCAAGGAGTTTACTTCATTCTTCATCCTTTTATAAAGCACTCAAGAGCCAATCCGGGGTGGGAGGCACCCCCTTGTGAGTGTGAGCACAGGTCCTCCTAGGAGTCCACAGGGCTGTGTTCCCCACCCCACTTCCAGCTGTCGTAGAGACTTTATATGAGGGCAGGGTGTTGCATTTCAGTGGAGGAGGAGCTTCCCCTTGCCCTAGATAGGGAGCATTTCACTACAGGAACTGTGTACAAATCTTATCAGTACCTTAATCTAAGACCTTCACTCACACAGAAGGTATTTTGTGTGATACAGATGGAACTTTAGGAGTAGTGAAGACCTTCCACTCATGACTAGACAGAGCTAAATGGTCACTTATTTGGATATTAGACAACCAGGACTCATCTAGCCAGCCTGAGCTCATTGCCAGCCCAGCTTCACAACAGAAAGTTTCCTGACTGGGGCTGACTAGGCATCATCTCTATTTGTTGACCCATTGTTGACTGGATGATTTTGATGCTTTAAACCAATCACTATTTCCCATCCTGATCTTTCACTTCAAACTCTGTAGTTCAAATAGACACAATATGTTAGACCTCCGGGCTGAAGTATAGCAGGGCCTGGTGATACGCATCACTGCCTGAGGATTTCATTGCACCCTGGCCTTAGCCACAAAGCTAAAACACTTGACTTTTCAAGGCAAAGCATCCATCATCTATCAGTGCCAAACTGGACAATGTGTATTTAATTTTACACAGATTTCATTTTGCTACCAATGATTGGCTAATGTTGTGCATTGCAGCCCTGACTTACTAGCAGGACAGCAAAGTGTTCCACTGTAAATACTGGATTCTATTGACAGGGTAAGCAACAGGGCATCTTTAGCATTGCCTACATGTTCTAAGGATGACTTCCTGTCTGGGAAAACTGTTACATGTTCAGTGCTTACCACAATCACAGGTATGGAAAATCCCATAGTCCCCAAGTGGCCCTTAGATGCTGACCAGTAACTGTGTAGCATCTTCCTTTCCTGGGTAGCTGTTGACCTTCTTGAGCAATGGGAGGTTGGACAACGAGTGTGAGGGGTTGTTAGCATGTGGCTTTCCAGTAGCAAAGGATAAAATCAGACAGAACCAGGCACAGGGGACACAAGTATTCTGCCATTCTGCCTCTGCTGCTACACTAAGGGAAAGGGCCCAGTGGGCACTGACACCAAGCTGTGCTCCCCCTGACTGAGGCTGTCCCCACTCTCCAGACACCAGTATGCTCGCTCCCAGGCACATAGAGCTGGCTTGCCAGGCCTGACCTTCCCTGTTCTTCTCTGGGCCTCCCTGCCTAGAAACTCAGGGCTTCCATTGAGGCCATCAATCTCTAGATGGAATCAACTGACCCAAGCCAACACTGTAGACTTCTGTATCAGATGTAAAGCATTTAAATCCGCTGGAGGATTCACAAACAAACACAGTCTTGGTTTCGAAAACAGTATCACTAAAGGACCTTTGAAATCTTAGCTCCTGGTTGCTGTAGAACAGGTCTCTTCACCCTCCTGAGAGGTTGTGGCCCGCACCAGAGGAGGGAAAAAGCAACTGAAACCTCAGGGAAGATGTGGTTTTCCTACCCCTCAAAGACACATTGGTAGTTAGAAACACATTGCCCTGAATTCATGGAAACCATTTCATTAACGAAATCATAAATCTGCTGGAACTACATTCTAGAGTACTGACACTAAATACTACATTGGCATAAGGTAGTAGATGGTGTATACTTAGAAGGTTAAATACCCCCAATCAGCCGTACAGACCCTGCACATATCACTTCACTGTGAAACACAAAGCCCACTTAGATACTATACAATGTACAAATGTGGCTTTTATATTTCAAAAACAAAAATAACAGATCTCAAACGCTAAAACCCAAGTAGTTACATTCACTTATGCTCAATTGTTTCTTATTTGTCTCTATTGAAAGCAAAACATTATATCAGAAATGAGGAACAAATAGAAATTCCTGTAAGTGATAGGATTAGTAAGAATTAAAGGTCATTTCCAACAAGATATTTTGAATACAAAAGTAAGTTCAAGAAGCTGAGAAACACGAACTGGGTGTTGATGGTTTCTGCCTCACAGTCTACCTATGTGATTACTTATGAACTTCTGGATGGAGCTGGCTGTCCCATGTCAAAATCCATGGTCAACATCCTTTAAAATGCTGCTCCTGCTGGCTATTAGACACCATAAAGCTGCCACATACTTTTAACTTAATTACCTACTTGTCAACAAACTAGATAGCTACCATTCAAGCCCAATCGCCTCTAGAATGGTTTAGACTCTGGCAATAACAAAATAACCAGTGCCAAGGAGTCTGAAATAATGACAAATGGCTTTTCCAGATTATGAGTTAGCCCATTGATAGCCTAACTTGGGGCTTCAAAAACATTAGTTTTGAATGGCTATTTAACCCAAATACAGAATCATGGGAGTCTTACTCACTCCTGCTATCCCCATTCAAATTAGGTGATCACTTACCATCAAAGTTTTTGTCCAGATCTTGAAGGCCTTCATTCAAATGCCGAGCACTCGTACCACGGAAAAGACCATAGGTGATGACAATGGTACCGTTGGAAATAACATCTGTGAAGAAAATAGAGCTGGTGATCCATGCCTGCGTTCCCAGAATTGAGCAGATGACAACAACAGAGCCAAGGCTTGTGAGAAAGCCAGACAGGAACATCAACGTCTTCTGTGTGGTTGGCATTTTCTCAGGAAATACAGCTCTCTGGGGTAAAGCAACAACCACCTTAGAATATTTGGGGGCCTTATCATTTGGAGTCCAGTGTTTAGGAAGGAAGTCTAGTATTCCGTTGTGAATGGAAAACCTGTGTCTTCATGGGAAGTTTTATGCTCCTGAACATTGAACTGTGAACAAGGCCATAAAGGCATGCAGACACTGAACTTTGATCTGGAACAAGCGGTTGCTATGGTTGCAGCCAACCAGCATGAAGAAGGGCTGGACAGTCCTTACAAGACTTCCTCAATCACATGACTAATTTATAACCTTTATCATGCCATGGAAGCCAGGTCAACCTACTGTGTGAGGACGTAATTTGAATTCTCAAACGATGGGAATAGAGACCTGTAGCCCAAAAGGATAATAGCACAAGGCCCCAGTGCCTTCAGGAATCATCTTCTGTGATGGATTTGTCTTTTACTGTGATTCCCAAAGCAAACTTCAAGCCTTTGTCAAGGTCCTGTGAAGTGGAAAGAGAAAGGTTTACCCTTCTAGGTTATACGTCCTTATTCTTAGACTGTATTATGGAGGGGTGCCCTTCAAATTCCCTCTTCCAAATGGTATCCTATTTACATCTTATTTAAATGATAGTATCAGAGGGTGTGTCATTATCAGTCTTTACTACCCTGCTTTCTTAGATTTCTGTCTTATTTACTTTTCACTGTGAAAGGACACCATGACCAAGGCAACTTATAAAATAAAGCATTTAATTGGGGGCTTGCTTACAGTTTCAGAGGGTCAGCCCATGATCATCATGGTAGTGATTTATAGCAGCCTGCATGCATGACATTGGTGGAGTAGCTGAGAGCTTATATCCTGAACTGCAGGCAGGAGGCAAAGAAAGAGAGCAAGACTGGGTCTGGCATAGGCATTTGAAACCTCAAGGCTCACCTCCAGAGACACATCTCCTCCAACAAGACCACACCTCCTAATCCTTCCTAAACAGTCCACCAACTGGGAACCAAACTTTCAAATACACGAGACTATGGGGGCTGTTTTCATCAAAGCACCATAATCTCTAACACCTGTCCTTATGGTCTAGCAGTTAACGGTCTATCAATAGCCATTTCTAGTCCTCCATGATACCTGTCCACTCATTTCTTGAGATTACAAACTGATTCACATCCTATTCTCTAATTTCACTTTTTATTGTGTTATTTGATTACAGAACATAGCATATGCACATCATAACCCATGCTTTTCTTAAATAACCCACTTACCTGTGGGAAGAGGGTTTTCCTCTCATAAGGGTAGAAAAGGAACTAGAGATGTACAAATCACTAGACTCAGCCACTTCACCTCTGTGAATGATGGATGGATGGATGGATAGATGGATGGGTGGGTGGATGGATGGATGGGTGGATGGATGGATGGATCAAGCACCACATTAGCCCCTTTTCCCCTACTGCCTGAGAACCTTAAATGGCTGATAAAGGGAAGCACAAGTAGGAAGACCTTTGCATCTGCCTGAAGAACTGAAATTGAGGTTATGGATTCTGGGGCATTTAGAGCATACTGAACAAGATTCTGGTTATGCACAAATGTGTCTCAGGAAGCCATTCTAAGTCCCTTACAGCTTCAGTTGAAGACTCTGCTGCACATTAACAGAGTGAGATTCTCTCAGGCCAGTTGTGAAACATCATGTGAAACATGGCTGTGAGCATCATGTGAAGTTCCAGAGGTTGGATGGTGCGGTCACTCTTCAAAGTTCCAGTCAACCAGGGTATAAAACTCTTGGGGCATGTGATGGTGGATGTCCTTCTGTATATATGTTTCTCTTATTGGTTGATAAATAAAACAGTTATTGTCCATTAGTCAAGCAGGAAGTATAGACAGGGCTAAGACACAAGGAGAATTCTGGGGAGAGGATGCAGAAAGGGGTCTCAAGAGAGATACCATGTAGCTTCTGGGAAGATAAGAATCCAGGCATTCTCTAGTAAGAAAACCATGTAGAAATACATAGATTAATAGTTATGGATTAATAATTAAGAGAGAGCTAGCCAGTAAGAAGCCTAAGCCATCAGCCAAACAGTTTATAATTAATTTGGGCATCAGGACCAGGCAGGAAAGAAACTCCATCTACAGGTATGCCTCAGTCATTCAGGCCAGGAAGCAGAACAGACTATTCCTTAAGTCTGAGCTGTCTTATCCCTGGAGGAAGGGTTTCTACAGACATATCCTAAAAAAGCTAAAAGTCATCTAGAACATTCAGGAGCATTGCCTTCAGGCAACAAGAAACTACAAACAATACAGTAAAATGAAAACAAGGCAGAAAAATAACAAGGAATTCTTAATTCTCCCCATCAGTAGAAACACATTCAAAGATAATATAAATGTTTAAAGCAGGAGACAAGAATCAGAAATGCTATGTTTAAAATGTTAATGGATTTAAAGAAAAAGATGACATAATAGACAAAGGTGTCTGTCTGCTTCAGTTGTCAACTGGGTATACCGGGGAAGAGGCAACCTCAGTTCAGGAATTGCCTCCATTGGATTAACTAGTGAATACATCTGTGGGGCATATTTAAATTGCTAGTTGGTACAGGAGAGTCCAGCCCACTGGGGGTGGTGCCATCCCTAAACAAGTGGGTCAGCACTGTGTTAGAAAGGTATCCGAGCAAGTCAGAGAAAGCAAGGCAGTAGACAGAGTTCCTCCATGGTTTCTGTCTCAGTTCCTGTCCTGAGTTTCTGCTTTACTTCCCACAATTACGGACCATAACTTGTCAGATGAAATAAGCCCTTTCCTCCCCCTTTAGTCTCAGCGTTTATCACAGGCACAGAAAAACAAACCAGAACAACAGGAAACATCTTCAGAGCAATAAAAAATATTTTTAAGCAATCAAATGAAAATACTATGATCTAAAAGTATAACATCTGAAAAGAGAAGCTTACTGAATAGATTTAACAGAAGACAAATTACCACAGGAGAAAGACAGTGAGTGGACACATGTCACATAAGGAGTAGGTCTGGGGGAGAGGGGAGGTGGGGGGAGAGGGACTGAAAGGAGAGGAGGGAGGAGAAAATGTGATCAGGATGTAATATATGAGAGAAGAATAAATAAAAAAATAAAGAACTACTTAAACCCATTGGCTTAGTGACCTAAGAGATAGCATTAGGAAATATCACGTACATATCTCCAGCGTTTGAGAAGGGGAAGGGGAAACAGTTTTTAAAAAGTAAAGGCTGAAAAATCTGCAACTTTGATTACAAAGTTTAGACGATTTTCCTGTTTTTATTCCACATATATGCATGTTTTGCCCGCATGTACATTTGCATATCACAGGAATGCTTAGTGCCTGTGGAGGCCAGAAGAAAGGTGGGGGTTAGATCCCCCTCGGAAATAGAGTTCTGTATAATTGTGAGCTGCTGTATGAGTGCTGGGAACTGAACCGGGGTCCTCTGCAAGAGCAGAAAATGCTCCTAACCATTGAGCTATCTCTCCAGTGCAACTCTGATTTAAAGAAAAAATTATATTTTACTTTCAATCAATAAGATAGAAAGTTACAGTGAGACATTCTAAATCACATTTATACAAGTAGTGATAAAGACAAAAGTCAGAAAACTAAACTAGAGGAAAAAATGCACATTACCTAACCATGGATAGGCAGTAAAGGGCAAATCTCAAAAAGATTTTGCTGTGTGAAAGAAACTAGAAATAACACAGTGTTTAGAAAGAGCCATCTGCCTATATATAACATACTATCTAATCACATTCCTATAAAGAGAGAGAGCAGGCAACACTATCCATGGTAACAGACACCAGAATAATGGTTGTTCTTGTGGGATGCATCACTTTCTGAAATGGGACAAGAGCAGGTGTTTTAGGGTACCAGTGTGCGTGTGTGTGTAGGTGTGTGGGAGGGGTTGACTCTCAGGAGCCATCCGACTTGTTTTATTGAGACAAAGTGTCTCATTAGTTCCCAAGTTTCACTGCTTTGACTAGACTAGCAAGTCAGAGAACCCTAGGGATCCATTCATTTCCATCCCCTCAGTAATGGGATCATAAATAGCTTTGCATACTATCCCTGCCTTTTTACCTGGGTGGTGAGTCAACTCAGGACCTCATGCTTGTGGAACAGGCACTTTCCTGGCTGACCTATCTCCCTTTGCCAGAAATGTGAGTACCTTGGCAGGGGCATGTGTGTTACTCTATGTACCTGCCTCTACTCACTTCACTGTGTCCTTAGGATCTGCACATTATATGTACATAGAAACTCAAGAAAGAAGAATTAAAATATTGTGAGGACCCAGAATAGTGTGTTACTTTCTGTTTGTTCAGGTTCATTTTTTTGTAGTTGTTGTTTTTGTTTTTTGGGCAAGTAGCGATGCTTCCTGCAAAGAGTCACTCCTTTTGATTTCAGTGGGCCAGAACTGTCAGTGTTTGGGCCTATCTCATTAGAAGAGGGGTAGAAGGAATAATACTAAGATAATAGAAATTGAAACTTCTAGTGTCTTCTAGATGTCATAAGAGCCAAGCCTCTGTATGTGGACATGTTCTGAATGAAACCACAAACAATGGATGCTCCCTCTTTTTTTTTTCTCATTATGCCCTGTGGCCAATCACTAAACTCCATTTTTTTCTCCTAAAGTTAAGTAGTTTTATGTTAATCTTTATTTATGTGTTTAAAAGCAAATTCTATTTGATTTTTTAAAACATAAATTTGGCCCCTTTTTTGCTTATCCTCCATGGGAGTATTTCTGACCACAACATTAGATTTCAGATGGACACCTTCAAGCTGGATAAGCACTCAAGACACTACGGAGAGGGGTTGGAGATGTGATCAGTTGGTAGAGTGCTTGTGCAGCATGCCAAGCTCTGGGTTTGATCCCTATTGACACTGCTTAAAGGCAGACATTGTGGCACATGCCCCTATAATCTACCAGGATCAGGAGTTCACGACCATCCTTGGCTACATATTAAGACTGAAGTCAGCCTGGGCTACGGGAGACCCTGTGTCAAAAAATGTTGCTGCAGGGCTGGAGAAATGGTTCAGTGCTTAAGAGTGCTTGCTACTATTGCAGAAGACTTGAGCTCTGTTCTAAACACCCACAAGGGGCAGATCACAACTGCCTATAATTCTAGCTTCAAAAGACCCAACATACTCTTCTAGAATCCACAGAA